GAGAAAAATCGATAAAAAGGAAAAAATAAGACAAAAATTTTGCGAAAATATTTATTGTTGGGTTACGGTAGCACTCGTTTGCCGGCTATGTTTTCGAAAATTCTCCTTGAAATACGGTGGCCTAACTTGTGTGAAAATTCGGCCACAACTCCAATTTTTTGCACAAGAATAATAAATAGTCAAACTGAAAATTTCTCACCTTTGGTGGCTCCTCTCCTTCTTGCTGCTCCTCAATATGGAACAATTTAGGCATTCCAGACTTTTCATCCAAATCCGTTAGAATCGCCGGAATTTCGATTCCATTATTCTTGGCCTTCACTTCCACTTTCTCCATAGCCATCTTCTTTTTCTCTTTACTCAATAATGGCATCAGAAGTTTCGCAGTTTTGTTGTTTCCCCACATTCTCATCATTCCGACAGATGCTCCCATTTGGTCACCGCCTGAATAAAAGCAAGTTAGATAACTCGATCATATGAAATTCATACTGTAAGGTCGGAAAATTCCTGAAGTTCTAAATTCAATGAAACTGAAAAATACTGTTTCTCATAAATCATTTCAAATGGTTTCTTTGAATTATTTCAATAATTTCTTCATGTGTGAAACCTACCTGCCGCCATTTTTTCCTGATAATCCAAAATGAGTTTCATGATCAAGTTGACATAGAAATCCTCTAATGCAACTTGAATCACATTAATTGTCATACTGACAAGTGAGAGGCCAACGATGACAAAAACGAAGCAAAGGACCATCATGCTGAAATTTAAAAATATATGTATTTACTGTTTCAGATTGGTGCTTAATTGTTTAGAAAACAGTATGAACTAATCTTGTTAATCTCGCATTACTTTCGCTAACACCTCCATTTTGCATCGTTTCGAGCGGAAGTTCAAAAACAATTTATCGATTGTGAGGACTCTTGTAAATTTACATGTCTGATGGGTGTTTGAAATAAAGTATCTTTCTCGGAATCCGAAATGCGGTTCTGGACAAAACAATATAACATTTTGAATGGTTTTCAGTGGAAAATAGTCAAAGTTGAAGTCCAGAAAAAGTAGCCAGGAATTTTCAGGTTATTCTACAAGTTTCAGTTAGTACTGCACAAATTTAGAGTTTCACTTTCTCATTGCCATTTTTTAAAATCAAATTCCGTTCTGATGAGATATGCCGTTTATAATTATAATGTGATAAAATAATCATTGGAATCAGAGTTGCAACACTTTAAATTCGTTTATCTCGCTTGGTTGGTTTGTACAAAAAAGTTGCCAATTACAAGAATAAAACTCTTAATTTGTTCAGTTTACTCTGGAATTTCCAGAGATATCTAAAAATCCTATACTATTTTTCAGGACTCCAAATTGGACAATTTCTCGCTGAAGAATGCAAAAGATGATATCTTTTTGTCCGGTACTGTATATGGTTATTGTGTGTTAGAAATCTAGTAATGTGAAAACTTGTCCGTTTCATAAATTGATATGATCATCAGGAATCATAAAATTGTGATTCTCCAAGGTTATACAAATAAACTTAAAAGACGAAAATTTACATATGATACCTTTTCTAAAATCCATTCGCTAGCTTTTCTTAGTTCTTTAAAAAATGGTAAACTACAAAACTGAAGCTCTAATACTGTTTACTACACTCTGGGAATTTCAGACAAATCGAAAAGTTCTGTACTACATTTTCAGCACTTGAAAGCTGACTATTTTCTATGGAAAAGTTACGATATTTTGGTGTTCGGTACTGGATGTGCATCAGTTACAGACAATTTTCAAAATTTTCTGTTTCAAGAAGTTGACATTGATCATTTGATAAATACAAAAAACGATGAAATCAGAAAACGACTGATGTTTAATATCGTCGGAGTTATAAAACTGCGACCTCGGTGTATGCAGATTCAGTACAAAAATTGAGTTTTTTGCACTGAGTCTGCAAACAAGCAGTTTTATAATTCCGACAATAAAATTTGAAAAATTCAGGTTTGTTTAGGGCTTCAAAGTTGACCAATTTCCACAGAATAAGCCAAAAAATGCTGTCTGTTAGAAAACCTGCAGCAATGACATGTTTCAAAAAATTTGCGGTTTCCTAAACCCTATAAATACTTTCTATTCTTACCCGTTCACTCGATTATCTAAAAAATTTGTGACTCACTCTCTTCTCTGCACTGAAACATCTCCCAATCCAATAGTCGACAGCGAAATGAACATGAAATAGCAGCTCTCTCCATACGTCCAATCCTCCCAAAGCTTGAAAAGTGCCGAACAGAAGAAAATCCATCCTACAGTAATCCCAAGTGCCACTTTCACACTCATCCGTGGCATTGCTCTTTCCTCTTCATCCTCAATGTCTTCATAGTCACTTTCGTTTCGTTCACTTCCTAATTCTGATGCCAATGAGCTGACTTCCACGTGGATATCTGGATTTCCAGTTTCCAAATTCACCAGTTCATCTCCTTTTGGGAAGTTTCCGTTTCCTCTTCGGCACAAACGAAACGCTCCAAGGTACGTTGTGAAATCCTCGAAACCTTTTACACATCCATTGATATTATTGTACAAAAACTTTCCCAAATCATTCAAAGTGATCAACATGAATGGAATTCCAACACATGAGTAGATTACGGTAGCAATTCTTCCCGCAGACGTTGTACATGCAATGTCTCCGTATCCAATAGTTGTGAAAAGGGTTCCCGCAAAGTACATAGCTGACATGAAAGTCCATTGAGACTCGTTTTTTACAGAGAAATCCAATTTTTGTTCGTAGTTGTCGATGGCTTCTTCCAATGCTTTTTCTCGGAATTTTCGACGACGACTTGCTGCATCTTGGACCAATTCTTCCATTCGGAGAAGCAATAATCGACGTTCTCGTCTGCAAAAAATAAAACTTTGCATGAGTCAATCGTAAAGCGACCACACGCCAAACACTCCCCGGACCTCACTCAAGTTAGGTATCATTTTGTAGGCGTTGTCCAGCTCTACATCGTGGTTTTTAATTCGAACTGAAATTCTGATTTTCCCCCAAGTTATGAGCTGGCAAACGTATCAAGTTTTTCAATAAGACTAAAAGCAAAATTTTCCGTTTCAGTACTGTTTGGTATTACCACAAACGGGAAACTATTTGCTGCAATTAAAATGGACACTGACTGGATACTTATCGATTAGCAAAAACATTTCAAAAATACGTTTCAGAACAAGCTGAAACTGGAAAATTAATAAAATTCATTGTTTCTTCAAGTTTTGTTCAAAAGTTTCAGATCTCCAATATTTAATAACCATGCATTCCTAGCTCAAACTTCGGATAGAAAGACAGACTGAATGTGTGTGAAGCAATGAAAATTGTACCGATTTCACAAAAACTCACTTATACTTATAATCCTCCTCTTGAGCAACTTCTTCAGCAGTCCCACTTTCCAGAAAATAGAATATAATTGCTCCAATCAGCATGTAGAACATTATGAATATCAGTGGGAACAGGTACTAAACTCTTTGGATTACTAGTATCTTACAATTGAAATTACCTTGATATGATATTCCTTATACATTCGATGAAACCGTTTCCCCCATGTTTCTGGCTCTTTCTCTTCTGGTTCTTCATGGAGTCGACTCTAAAGAATGATACTTTGAAATTTAAATTTCAGTTATCCGGACTACCGAAAAGGTGCTACTAAATCTAGCTAACGGGATAGACGAGTAGGTGAAATTAAAGCAAAAAAGAAAAAATCAGGAGTTAGGGGGAGGATAGAGAAAAGTGAAAGCAAAATAGAAGAAGTAATCAATAATACCCTTTTGTACTCTATATACTGAGAGGCTCCGTAGAAATCGGTCGACAGTTTATGCTATAATTCGGGTGTGTTCAGAGATAAATGATTATTGTAGTTTTCTTGGGGTTACTGTAGAAGGACTCACTTGAACAACTTTATCTCTGTCTGGGTTTGAGTGTCGTGTTGCAGATGATTGGGCGCCAGCTGAGAGTTGAGATGGTCGACGGAGACGGTCGTTGGATGCCTGGAAATTTGGAAAAATTGATAGAAGTTCTCCTCCCAATGAATCTTTCTAATAGCCAGAGGACGCTTATAAATGTCTGTCTGTCAAAATGAAGGTCATTTAAAAAAATAAGTGGCTTCACTTCGGAAGGCCAATTTCAGATTACTGCTCAACTCACCCCCGAGCCGGGCCGCAGATTTCGATTGTTGTTGGACGACCTGCCAAATCCGACCGCTCGCAAAAGCACCGGCATTACTATAAAAGCATATTGGTTAACGGAAGAATAATAAAGTTAAGCGACGAATGAAAAATAGAGAAATTGAAATAGAGAACAAATGAGATGGTCTGAGAAAATGTGTACTTTAAGTTGAGAAATATGGAAAAAAGAGTCGTTTCAGTTTCATTTCCACCTTCATGAAAATGATAAGAGAAAACATTCATTCGGGATAGTGATTCATAGTCTCATCTCAATTAAAATGATTCTGATCAGCTAAAATTAAACGAAATCAAGTCAAAAATGGAAGAATATGTTTTTTTAATGTTGAAAAATTTAAAAAAAAAGAGTATCTGTGTACCTTTGAAAAGCAGATAGGATATCCTGGGCGGATTCCTCCTTAAAAATTGTCATTTGGCTCTAAATATCTCGTTTCCTTTAAAATATGTCAACAATTGTCAACTGATAAAATGTTTGTGATAACATTTCACACATTTTGTCAGTTGATAACTTTGCGATATCTTTTCCAGGAAACCAGAAAAAGTGACTCAAAGTTTACGGTATTAAAGGTTTCACGAACTTTTTGGCTCTATTGGCCAATAAAAACATATATTTGTGTTAAATTTCGGAAAAAACTACATGGAATAGACCCAAAATCCAATTTTAAATTTTTCGGGAATACCTCTTCTATGAAATTTAGTCAATCTTTAGGATCTTTGTTTCGCACAAACTATTTTTATGAAAAAAACAAGTTACTTGCTAAACCAAGGAATCCAGCAAACTAGCACTTAAAGGAGGCGAGACAGCAAAAATTTCGGGGACAGTTCGGGGGACGAAATCGCGCCGCGCTTATCGGTCGTCAGGCGCCTTCGCGCCCCCGTAGCTCAGCCGGTAGCGGCGCTGTACCCCTGAGCTGCCTGTCATGAGTTCAACCCCCTTTTTTTGCTGTCTGGCCTCCTTTAACTAGAAAACTCAAAACACAAAAAATTCTAAAATGATGGCTTCTTTGAACTCCTTCTTCCTCGTAAAACATGTATATCGATGTTATCTTCTCAAACACAACCACACTTATCACTTTTTCTCATTATCACCCTCTTCTCGTTTGTTCTTGTCTAGTCGTACAGCTCAAAAAGAAATAGACTCAAAGACAAAATGAACACGAAAATGTGTCGAGTGAGCAGGATTGCGATTAGAAAAATCAAATGAGAAAAAAGTAATGGAAAAGACAGGAGAATGAGGAAAAGAAAGAGAAAGAAAGAGAGGTGATTTTACACATTTTGAAATTAAATGAAAACCAATCGGATCGACAGGAAAAAATGTCCTCCTCGGGGGGATGCATTCGGCGCCAAGATTGATAGGAAAAGAAGGGAAAGAAGAGGAAAAAGAAAGAACAATTGATACAAATCGGTGTGAGAAGTTGTTTTGGGGGGCAGACAGAGCAAGAGGATTCGAACATGTGACCCAAGGGGAAATTGAGTGCTCCACGGACATTGAGAAGTTATTACGGGTCTTTGGAAAAGTCTGGAACAAGATTTGGTAGAAAATAGAAGGAATTTTTCATGACGGGAACTGGAAAATTCATATTTACCGATAGAGTACTGCTTACAGATGAACTAAAAAAACCGGAGTATTTCAAAAAAAAAGGTTTATTGAAACTGCAGAAATCATGTTGCTGGACAAAAGATGTATTCAAAAATAATGTTGAGCAAGGTGATGGACAAGATGCCCAAAACTTGGGCAACTTTCTTACAATATTCTTTTTTCATACTAATTCATGTTTGACGCTCTTTCCAAAATCTTAACAAATCTTGAACAATTAGGTTTGTTACAGGTTTCAAGTTTAAGGATATCATTTCAAGTTTAAGGATATCGAAAACTTCAAAAAACACATAAGGGGGGACCCTTATGTGATTTTTTTCGATCAAAAAACTTTTTTCGAGTTTTTTTTAAATATTTTTTGATCAACAGACAAACAATCCAAAAAGCACAAAAAATATAGAAAATTGTATTGAGAGCTCAAAATTCGGTTGAAAATGACAAAATTTTTGCTACCGGGCCGGCCCAGAATTTTACAAGTATGATCAAAATGTTTATGGCACTAAAGATAGCATAGATGGTGCACTGAAAAAAGTCGAGTTTTCCAAATAAATCAATTTTTTGAAACTGTAAAGGTATGTATTGGACCATAATTGGAAAGCTGTGACAAATTAAAAAAAAAGGTAGCTTTGCAGTATGCCGAAAACATGGGCAATAATTCATGTGTCTGACGTTTTTGTGGAAGTGAAAAATAAAAAATTAGAATTACATTTTATCATCGTTGCCAAAGCTAGTTGATGATGTTCATGGCATTTCTGACGCGCAGCTACAGAGGACTGAAAAAAGTTCGAGTGTGTCAAAATACAGGTTTATTGAAACTGCAAAAATTTTATTGATGAGTTACAAAAAGAAAGTTATGGAAGTTCAGAAAAAAGCTTGATGGACAAGATGCCCAAGCAATTTCATACTAATTCATGTCTGGCACTCTTGCCAAAGTCTTAACGCAAAAAAAAAATAAAGTCTGATTTGTTTTGAATAAGGTATATTTTGCCAATGCTTGATCAACTCGTGCCCTCTCTATTATTCAATTTCTCAATTACTCAACTATTCAACCTTTCAATTATTACTTCTCAATTAGACGCCAAAACCGGCTTATCACATATTTAGTACTCAAAACAAGAAACATTTTCTATGTTCAATTTTCCAAAGACGTAAAAATGACGTACTTTCGGACACTTTCACAAAAACATAGTTTTGACCAACATTTTAATAGTATAAGATTTGTCAAAAAAAATGTGTATGCAGTTTGTGAAACAGAATTTTTAAAATTGAGAAGGCAAACACAATAAAATCGTTTTGAACGCTCTCTAGAAATCGGTTGAATTCGATAGTAGTAGAAAATTAAGAAGTCAGATTAGAAACAAAACGCACAAGTTTTAAATGTTTTAACAAACAGAAATGAACAAAATAAGAATCAAAAGAGTGATTACATGAGAATCGAGAAATAATATTGTATTGATAACGAAACTCATAAATTCAAATGTTTTTGTAAAAATACTGGTTCAGAAAAAAATAGCTCTATGAATAAATTAATCATCAACCCTAACTTATCCTGAAACAGTTTTTTTTTCTTTTCTCAAATCATAAACACATTTTCAAAAAACGATGTATCGTTATTTCATTCACTGAATTCACAGAACTTAATTGTTTCCGTGCGGTATCCCAGGACTTCGTTGTTCCCTATTCAAACTACACAGATATTCAACCCAATAAATTATCTATCAAAACATTATTTTTGAAGCGACACCCCTCTCGGTTCTCCTATCACTTTCCCCGTTTCATCATTTCTCCTGGAGTCTGGTAGAGCCTTCTTCCTCATCCCACGCGTTGATGATCATCCATCCATGTCTCGCGTATTCTCTCATCATCAAAAAGATAACATAGTTATAAGAGAGACACCCGGTCAGAGGGGGGCTTCTGGACGCATCACGTTTCATGTGGTACTTTTTGCTCGTTTTCGACATGTCTCTCACTTCATAAACAACCGATCCAACAGGAGGAAGAGAGACTGAGATACACAGACGTGTCGAGATTCGGAACGATTTTTCTTTTAAATAGTTGTTTCGGAATGTATCAAAGCGCTAGACTCGAGTTTTCCAAATTTTGTACATATCGGCCCCTAGAGAAGTTGAACTTGCGGGTCCACCTTTAGATGTACAGCGCCTGAGCTACGATACTTACAGCTGAGCTACGGTAGCGTAAGCTGCGGAGGCCGAAGGAATAAGGTATCATTCTTATAACAAATAAATGAAGTTGCGTCTCTTTCTCTCTCTATCTCTTTGTCAGTTTGTCCGCGAATTTTGAAAAGCTTAAAAATGAAATATAAATTGATTTTAAAAAAAGTGAGTCGCGCAGCGACGAAGAGTAAAAGAGAAAAGTTAATTCCAGCTGTTTGAAGCGCCGGAGGCGCGGCAAACAGGCTGGTATATATATAAAACGCTACACGCGTCTTTCTGTCCTGTTGTCAGGCTGTCCGCTTTTGAAAAAATTGAAAAATAAATATAGATTTACGTGAATCTTTAAAAAAATGAAGAGCGGAGCGACGCATCAGTAAAGAAACTAAGTTAAATCACGCCGAAGGCGCACCAGCCTGCTGGTAAGGTATATAAAAGAGTAACTATAACCAAAATGTATATCGTTACGTCAAAATGCATACCGTAACCGTAAAAAACCAGAAAAATCTCTTATCTCCCTTCCTTCAGTAATTCCATTAGCACTATCAACAAGGAAGAAAAGTGTGTCCTAGAAGTCCGTTTTCAATAAATCATGTATCCGAAACAAAAAAAAATCTTCCACACAGGCAAGATTTTACTAGTCATTTGATAGAAAAAGGCTACCGTAGTAAGTTTCCAGCTAGTCAGCAATTTCGGAATTAGGTTTCCGTCCTTTTTTCCGTTGATTAGTAGAGATATTTGGAACAAATTTTTCGAGGAAAAACAGAATACGGAATCCGAAATGAAGCATATTCCTCAGAATTCAGATTTAAAAAAGGAATACTGATTCCGATAATGTGCTGAAGTTGCTAGGAACCATAATGTTGGAACTCGGAAGTTGGAATTCTTGATTGAAATTCAAATCTATGCAAACCAGACAAGCCAAAAAAAACTAAATAAGAAGAATTTAAAAACTGGCGAAACATGAAAGACGGAATCCCGTACACCTCTAATTAAAGGTATAAATATCTCAAGATGCAGAACAGGTTGAAGTTCCTTTTAATTAAGGCTTCCATTTCGGTCGGTCGAAAATCGCCGACCGAGCTGACCGATTTCGTGCCTTTGCGCATAAAAACACGAATTTTTGCGTACGAAGCACTTTATTTTACGACTCGGTCGGCTGTCGGTCGGCGGGGTCGGTGGTCGGTCGGTCGGCTAAATTTCCCGACCGAATGGAAGCCTGAAAAATAAATAAAAAATGATAAATAATAAAAATGATTAAAAAAAAGA